AGCCTTTAATACCTTAACAATTCATTCTATTTCAACTCAAGTTCCAAAGGATGATAACTATGACATCTCAATTTCATGAAATTAAGGGAGAATTCTTACCTTAATTGGTTGATTTATGAAGAATTAGCCAAGTCTCCCTTGTTTTCTATAAGTTTTCCTCTTTTCTCTTCTTAGAAACCCTCTATAGAAGTCTCTCAAGTTTGTCTCTACATTCTCTACTAACTCTCTCTTATTTCTTCTTTGTTATTCAATTTGACGAGTAGAGTTAAGGATTAATTAATCTCTAATTAATCTTAAACGTTGATAAATTATAAGTTTAACTAATTAAATCAACTTCACTCAAATTAAATTAATCCTTATCATATTATGATCTCAATTAAACTAAATTTAAATAACCTAATGTGAATTAGGCTCTAACTCCCTATCTAATTATTTGATTTTAACTTATTAAAATTACTGAATCAGACAGGTCTATATCTCATTTTATCCTATCTGTTTACATTAACACAATTCAAATAATCACATAACAATCAATAACACATAATCACATAATTAACAATAAGCACAAAATCAATATAATTAATTTACTTGATTAAGGAGGTGGTTGTCACAATTTAAAAAATAGTGGGACAAAAAAAATAATAAATAAATAAAAATTAAGGGGATGCAAGTGGTTTTGTAATAGAGTGCAAGTGTAAGGTTGTGGGGGTACAAATGCGACTTTGATATCTCTATGTTTGTGTAATTTTTTTATTTATTTTTTCTACTGGGATGTAATTTTCCATATTAATAATGCAGATGTAATAATCATTTATATAATTACTAACGATTGGCATATACAATATGTATATAATTTAATAAGTAAAAATAAAATAAAATATTTATTATATATTATGTTTCACTTAAATGGTAAGACTATTTTTTTCTTAATGAATGCATATATAATTTAAATAAGTAAAAGTAAAACAAAACATGCATTATTGTGCCTCCGTTTGGGAAGTAGGTTGGCTTTTTGGCTTTTTAACTTTTTTGGCTATTTGAGCCTGGGCTCAAAAGTTTGGTTTGGGAAGGACTTTTTGGCTTTTTGACTTTTTTAACTTTTTTTGTGAGAGAAAAGTGTAAAGATTATGGGTTGGATGTGATGTTTTGTCTGTTGTGGCTCAAATAACCTATTCTATCTTTTGTGGCTCAAAGAGCCAAAAGAGTCCAAATGAGCTCTTCCCTCCTATTGCTTGGATAAATGCAGCATTCATTTTAATATAATAATATAGATAGTATAGATATGATAAAGTATAGGGTTTTCCCTAATAGGGAAATCTAATGGCGCGCACCCCTAGGGGTGCATATTATATGCACCTTATCATAACAATGTATAATTTTGTCATAAAATTTTATAATATTAACAAAAAAATGTATAATTTTATCATAAATTGAGATAGTAAAATGTTTAAAATTTTATGATTGATATTTTTTAAAATTTTATGATTGATGTCGCAAGAGTTTGTGGTCTCATTATAATATTTTTTGTTACACTAAATTATATTAAAATTACTTATTTTATGATTAATATTACAAAATCTTGTGATAAAATTACATATTGAATGGCATATGCACCCCTAAAAGAATCAACATCATAGCATTTCCCAACCTAATATAGTGTTAAACAAACAAAGTTTGTAAATTTTTCATACAAGCGCATGTGCATTTATTATTTAGCAGTTTGTTGGGTTCCGTTTCGCTTACTGCTTTGTCAATTTACAAGAGAAATTTATAAAAAATAAAAATATATTTGTTTGTATAGTCAGCACAATATATAAGGGTTTTAAAAATTAAATTTTTTAATCTTTAAAAGTAAAAATTTTGTTACAAAAGATATTTAGGGGATTAATTTCTATTTTCATGAGAATAATCACTAAAAGGTCGTCCCGTAAAGTCAAAAATAAGGCTCTTGTGACAAAATTTTGAAGATGTCAGTAATAAATAGATTTTTAGGACAAAAAATAATTTAGTCTCAAAATAGTTTGTTTTTTGAGGTAAAAAATTTGGCCCCAAAAGGATAATAATTGATCACTAAGTCTAATTTTTATTATTAAAAATATAATAACGACAATTTTCTCAACAAAAATATTTGGTCCTTCAAAAATAATTTTGTTCTTAAATTTTGTTATTTAAAATCTTAATTTTTTGTAGTGAGTATTTTTTCTATTATATTATATCAACTGAAATTTTTCAGTAGAAATTTTCACTATTTAAATGATTTCTAATGTAATATAGCAAAAGTCCCATTTATCTTGTAAAGAATATCATTTTCCTTTCCTTTTTTTTTTGGGAAAAACTACAACGGCATTCTATCTACTTTATATATGTGTCAATTTTTTATTTTTATTTTTTTTATAGTTTTAATTCTATCAAATTTTTTTTTAAAATTTTATATTTTGTGTCTAACTGATCCAATTGATAATAATCATCAAAAATTTTGACAAAAAATGAGTGGAAGATTTTTACATGCCTTGTCTGCAAAAGAAAATTAAAAATATTTATAAAAGCAAAATTAATTACTCTAGCAATCTTTATAGTTAGCCCTTTATACTTTACCTATTCCGATTATTATCCATCAAACTAATTCGACACAAAATATAAATAAATAGATTTTTAGGAAAAAAATAATTTGGTCTCAAAATGATTTATTTTTTGAGATAAAAAATTTGGTCCCAAAAGAATAATAATTCATCACTAAGTCTAATTTTTGTTATTAAAAATATAATAACGACAATTTTCTCAACAAAAATATTTGATCTTTAAAAAATAATTTTGTTCTTAAATTTTGTTATCTAAAATCTTAATTTTTTGTAGTGAGTATTTTTCCTATTATATTATATCAACTGAAATTTTTCAGTAGAAATTTTCACTATTTAAATGATTTCTAATGTAATATAACAAAAGTCCCATTTATCTTGTAAAGAATATCATTTTCCTTTCCTTTTTTTTTTGGGAAAAACTACAACGGCATTCTATCTACTTTATATATGTGTCAATTTTTTATTTTTATTTTTTTTATAGTTTTAATTCTATCAAATTTTTTTTTAAAATTTTATATTTTGTGTCTAACTGATCCAATTGATAATAATCATCAAAAATTTTGACAAAAAATGAGTGGAAGATTTTTACATGCCTTGTCTGCAAAAGAAAATTAAAAATATTTATAAAAGCAAAATTAATTACTCTAGCAATCTTTATAGTTAGCCCTTTATACTTTACCTATTCCGATTATTATCCATCAAACTAATTCGTCACAAAATATAAAAATAAATGGCAAAATTTATTACAATTAAATTATAAAAACTAAATTGATAAATAGAAATAAATCAAATCTGGATGACACGTTATTTCAAAAGTGGGAAATTAGTTTGAATAACTCTTCAAAGTAGGGGTTATGTTTCACTTCATTAATCTAAGCCTAGTTTTTTTCTTTTCTTTTTTGTTTTATATAATTTCCATTTGCAAATAATAAACAAAAAATAGAGAGAGAGAAGCGTCACGTATAGGCACTTTTATCATTTTTGGTCAATTGTGATTTGAAGTATACTTAATATATGATTTATTCTTAACTATAATTGTACTTGTTATTTTTTTCAAAAAATATTTGACTGTATAATATGTGTTATAAAAGAATAATTTTAATTATTTATTTTGATAATATTAGTGTTATCGTTCTATAAAAGTGTTACCTGAATAATTATATATATTCCTTTCGTACTAAAATATTAATCATATTTAAAAAAAATTAACTTTTTTTTGGTAGTATAATTAGAGTACTGCTATTAGCACCCCACCAATTATTTTAGATCATCAATTTCTTTGGACCTCCACTTATAAATTCTAAATCTCTTAAAATTTATTTTCTCCCCCCAAATAATACCAAAACTATCCTCGTGAAAACATTTCATCCATACAATTGAATGCACTCCCTACACCCCAAAAAGTCTCTCTCTAAAAAACCCTAACAAAACCCACGAAGGTGATTACTATTTCATCTCCATATACTTGTTTATGACCTGAGAAAATAAATGTTCGATTATTTGTTCCCGAACAAATAAATAATGTTCGGGCTTGAGTTTTCGAATTTCGATCATATGTTCAGGAGTTTAGTCTCAAAAAAATGAAGAACAATTTTTATTATTTTTGTCATTTTTTTAAGAAATTTACCTTTATAAGGTCAATCTCCTCTAAGTTAAGAATATCATCAAAGTTATGAATCTCCTCTGAGCTTTTATTGTTGTACTCCTCTCGTCTCATGGAGTTGTGGTTGCCGAAAAAACTTTCACTTATTGTCATTGCTAGAGAAGTGTAGGTAATCAAATAGTTGCCACCGTTACTGTCGGCATATTGTCGCCAAGGGATTTTCAAGGTTTTGAGGATGAGTAGATTTTAAAGGTGGGATTTGGAGAAGATGGATGGGTAGTGATAGAGGTGAGTACTCTCATAAACCCTAACTCATGATGTAGTGGGTGTGTGAGCTTAATTGTGAGATGGGATGTCCCAAAATTATTAATGTTCTTTTTGGTAATTTCACTTGAGGTTATTATTTTAGTAAAAAAAAAATGGGGATCCAATAAAATTAATATGGTGCTAATAGCAGTACTCTACAATTATTACACTTCAAAAAAAAACTTTCCAAAACTACCCTTTGGTAGTATAATTATTATACTTCAAATAATGTTAATGAATTTAAAACAATGGCAAAATAGAAAATTCATACTATTTTAGACTTTGGTTTTTGAAAATGAACTAATATTTTGGGACAATAAAAAATAGAAAGGGAAATTAGTCTAGGGTCCCTCTCCCACTTTTCGTAATGGAAGAGATCCACAACATTATTTTTTGATGTCTAAGGTCCCTAAATATATATCAGAGAAATTTGTCTTCGAATAGGTCAGTTTTTGACTCTTCAGTTGTTGTCTTGGGTTCAGTTGCCTCTCCAAATTCGAAATAATTTCACTTCATTCCAATTCCAATTCCAATAGGAATTCATCAAAAAATGGATTTGAGGCGCTTTCTTTGGTATCTAATTCGGGCCTTACTTTGTTCATCGTAATGTCGAACATCTTCATGAGACTCTGTTGCTCTTGAATCTCTACAAGCAACATAGTCACATGAGGGAGCGAAGAACCGAGCTGTTTCTTCAAGAAGCTCTGTTTCAACTCAGACAAAGATTTTAATTCGGACACCACAGCTTTATCAACAGACTGAATCGCTTCGCAGTTGTAAGGAAACTGAGCCATTTGTAGCTCCGCGTAAGCGGCTTTGACAACTGAAATGGTGGCGAAGAGCTTCGCAGCAAAAGCTTCCATGGCAGCTCTGTTTCGAGACCTTGCTTCATCGTTATTGTTGTCTTTGTCGAAACGTTGTGAATCATTTTTGAGTTTGTGGTCCTGAGGTATGAGCAAGCAAAACCCAGTGCTTGAAAGGGATTTTGAGACTTTTCTGAGGTGAATGACTTAGTGGAAGGTTAATAGAAAAAAAGAATTTTTTCGCTCCAATTGAGGAGGGTTGATTTCTCATCTGCAGACACAGATATCACATGCATCACACACTGATATAGACACACAGCAGCACACTCGGATGAGGGAGAGGAAGATGGATACACGTTATACACCACAAAACACACAGCACACACACGACTATCACAGACCCATCACACACATGCATAGAACACAAAATTCAAAATTTCTCTGGAGATAAATTTTGAATTTCTCTGCAGATAAATTCCGAAGTCAGAGAAATTTGGTTAAAACACATTCCGAAGTCAGAGAAATTTGGTTAAAACACATTCTGAACTCAGAGAAATTCCAAAGTCAGAGAAATTCAAAATTTCTCTGGAGAGAAATTCCGAAGTCCAGAGAAATTTCCAGAATTTCTCTGCAGAGAAATTTCTCTGGCCCAATTTTCTCCGGATCAATTTTCTCTGGATCAACTTGAGGGACCTTAGACATTATGAAAATATTGAGTGTCCTTTATGCTGTAAAATCATAATACCAGGGACCTTAAAAAAAAACCCCAAAATAAAATAAGGGACTAATATTTTGTAACGGAAGGAACATTAATTTTAGTTAAATTATTTATATATTTTAATAATTTTAAATCTATCGAATTATAAAAGTGTAATTATTATATAATAATTTTGTATGATATATATATTAAATTATAAAATAATACAATAAATATTCATTTTGATATTAAAATTAATAATTAAATTAGAAGAAGAATTAGTAATATAAAACAAAAGTAATTCTAACTATTTAATTTTCTTTTAGATTCATTTGGAAAATAAAAATATGTAGAAATAGAAATTATATAAAATTTATTAAAAAGGTCAAATATAAATTTGTTATACTTGGATTATCATATAATGATCTTATATGATATATATATATATATACATATATATATATTAAATTGTTAAATCAAAATATCAACTGACAATGCAATAACTTTAATAGTGGATGGGTCGGACTGATCTACGCCTCCAACGGGTCTGTTGGCCTTTGTGTCCTCAAAGCATGCCTGCAAAACGGTCCAAAGGGAGAGATGATCCCTCGATGGATACTCTGACGATCAAGTTAGAGCAAATTGACTTGAGAGAGATAGAGAAACAAAGGGATAGAAAACTTAACCTCGACGTATCTCAAAAACTTCCTTATATCCTTTGCTCATCATTTTCTTATCCATCCCAAGCTATCTTGTTGGTCGAAAGTCTATAGTCTAGTTGACTTCGTTCATGGTGAGTCTGCTTCTTCCGGCGTGAAGGAGTTACCACATTTAATGTTACGAGGGCCTCATTAAATGGCTGATGTACGGGTGTAATAACTTTGCAGAATTTTTGTCTGCTTACGTGGCTAGGCCTCTGTCTGACAAGTGTTTGAATGGTATTGGTCGTAGCCCAGCATTGATTTCTCAAAGTTACTGGGCTTTAATATCTAGGCTGTGAGTTGGGCCCTAATCCGTGGGCTGTGTGGGCTAGGCCCTCTTGGGTGCCCATTAGTATCAGTAGTTTCCCATTCCCAAGTGTCACTTTAGTCTAACGAAGGGAATAAGAGTGTGAGATATAGTCCTCCAAGGCTGGGGGGTAGGGGCGGTGTGGGGGCTTCTAGAAAAGTGGTCGATCGTTAGAATGGCCGAACATGAAGAATAACCGTTAGGTCGACCGACTACGAGGATGGTCGATCGAGAAGGATGGCCGTTAGGCTGGTCGACTGCGAAAATATGTGGGGAATAACTGGTAGGCTGGCCAACCACGAAGGTGGCCGAGCGTAAGGGGAGACAGTCAGGCTGGCCGACCACGAAGGTGGCCCAGCGTGAGGGAAGACTGTCAGGCTGGTTGACTGCGAAGGTGGCTGACCGACCGGTGTAGCGGCCGGCCAACGTGATGGTCAACCGCTGAAGAGATCGACCATTGAGGGCATTTATGGTGCACAGGGCTCGAGGAATAAGAAAGCACGTGATGATGTGAAATAGAATGGACGGAGGAAAGGAAAGAGAATGAATGTGATGAATGAAGAATCGAGGCTGTACACGTGGGGCAATTTGGGCCATTGGTAGGGGAGGTGAAACAGTAAGAGAAAGTGAAAGGATTATATAGGGGGTGACATAGGAAATGTGGGAGTTTTAACTTGGTGGAATTTCAAACTAGCGAATTTTAACCGCAATCCTTGGAAGACAGGCAAACCCTGGCCATTCGGACTGGTGCGATTTACTTACCTGATTGCAAAAAATCAATACATTCCAGACTTGAGCTCCTACGTCTCGGTGGACTCTCCCCTATTTCACATCGCATATTTCCTCACTGCCGCAACCAAGGCAATATGCAGAAACGTGAAGGAGATGACACAAGACAAAGCGTCGTCCGTGACATCAGATGCGTTAAGAGACGATGACGAAGTGGCACTGGCAGAACAATACAGAGTGGAAAGGCTAGGGAAAAGGGTCGCGGAGCGGCCAGTGCGGCCCCTTCCAAGGACAATGATCTCGGCAGTCCAGCCAATTAGCCAAGTGGTGCCTGACCACTAGTATACCAAAGTTGACAAATCCATGCTAACGGCAGAGGATCTGGAGGAGCTGCGTATCAGATATCAGATTCCAGTGGATATACATTAAGGGTGCCAACGGCGAAAGAGAGAGCGTCCGACATTCGGCCAATGGAGTTTGCGCTGTACGAAGAGGCATTGCGTGAGGGTCTAAGGTTGCCACTGTCCCCACTGGTGGTCGAGGTATTGAACCGCCTAGAAGTGGCGCTAGGGCAACTAATGCCGAATGCATGGAAGATCCTCTTTGCATGTACGATCGCATGGCCGCGGGCGACCGGAGGAGAGACGATGACGGTGGATTTATTTTTTCGTGCTACAAGGCCTTGGGGCAACATGAGACTTAGGTAACCCTGCAAACAATAGCGGGAAGCGAACTGTCGGTAGAGTTGCCCTCTTTAGTGAAGGAGTGGAGGCCAAAGTGGTTTTTCGTATCGGCAGATGGTGGGAGGGGAGTTCACACGACTTGAAAAGTGCCAACCAAGTCGTTGGAGCCAAGGTTGGATGGTGCGGTAGAGAAAAGAGTCAAGCAAGTGAAGGAGTGAGGAGAGAAAGATGGCCTAAAATAGGATGACCTAGTCCAACCCTCAGCCTTGTTTGCCCTGAAGTTGGGGTCTGAGCCGATCGGGGGAGATCTTGCTCCAGAGGAGGTGGAGGTAGTGAGGAAAGCACAGAAGGCAAAGGATGCGTGAGCGTTTGCTAGGGCTGACAAATATAAGCAGGAACAATTAGGCCTAGTGCTGAAGCTGGTGGCAAAGAGGTCGGTCCGACCAAGACCTAAACCCTTGGGAGAAAAAGACTTAGCAACATATGTGCCTCTGCAAACGCCGGTGGATCCATTGAGGGAGATGAGTGGGAAGGAGATAGAGTTGGTGTTGAAGAAGAAGAAGAAGCAAAGGTGGTGTCAGAGGGGAATGAAGAAAGACCACTATTGAAGAAGACCAAAGAGGGGGCAGTGGAAGTGCCCCCAAAAGTAGAGGAGGAAGAGACCAGGGTTAGTGTGGAGGCGGAGGGAGGTTTGGCTAAGCTCCCGACCGTCCATGTGATGAGCGGAGTAGACGAACAAAAAGGGGTGCTAGAGGCCGACAGATCGGCAGACCTGCCCTCCAAGGACGTGCCCTTAAGAAAAGTGCCCTCAAATCAAAAGTTAGGGAGAGAGCGGGCAAGTGGGGCAGAGACGAGTGCTGCGCTGGGGACCGCCACTCATTATGTTCGCGCGATAGTCGGTTGCTTGGCGGGCGATGGGGGCAAAGCTAGGGTGGCGGCAAACTATTTGCTAGGGATTATGGAGGACGCGACCATGAAGAGTGTCGCACAATATACAGAGGTCGACCTCATAAGAGGATTCTGCTCAGCATAGATGGAGGTAGTGACCCTGGTGGCTGCTCTGTTGAGCTAGGCAGTGGGGACGAAGGTGGAAGCGGAGTTGCTTAAGCCCAGTTGGAAGAGGTTCGGGCTCAATTATAGAACGTAAAGGCGAAGACGGCTGGCTAGAGAAAGGCAGCGCTTGCGCTTATGCGAAGGGACTGGCCTATGTTCAAAGGGCAAAAAAGTTGAAGGTGTTGGCGGTGGTGCAGAGTTACTTGGCTGAGCACACCAAGATAGACCAGACTGAGGTTGCATCCGAGTTGTCACTCGTCAAGTCTAAATTTGAAGTGGTGCGCCGTAGGGTGGTATCGCTAGAGTTTGAGCTGGTGAGAAAACAAAAGAGTACTGACAAAGTTCAACAAGCCTGCACCACTGCCAACGAGAGATTGAAAGAGGCCCTCGTAAATAATGAAGAGCTGCGCGATCTGGCCTTGAAGGAGACGGAAGAGGCAGATGCACGAGTGGCGAGGTTAAAAGGGGCCATGGAAGAAGAGAGGGCTAAGACAGCGGAGTTGGCTAGGGTGATAGCATCTTAGCGGGCTACCTATCTAGATTTGAGCACCGCTGCAGTGGAACAATTTAAGTTATCCCTTGAGTTTCAAATGGCCATTGACTCAGCTGTGGCAAAGAGCTTGGCCAGAGAGAGAGAAGGTGGGGAAAGACAGCCAAATATGGCAGCTGCTAAACTGGTAGAGGAAGAGACCAAAGAAGAAATAATCCAGAGGTTTCAGTAGTTGGGCTATTATAAGCACAAAATGAGAATATACTGGGACAGTGACTGGACGAGCTTCAAGTATAAGGTGGAAGAGCTCTTCCCAGACATGGATTTCAGCGGCGTGAGGCCAGGAGATGGGGATGTTGCCCAGACCCCGCTGGATGAGGGCGTTGAAGAAGAAGATTTGGCATCCGGCAAAGACGATGGGGATGAAGGCGGAGCAATGTGAAGATTGGCTCTCTTTTGTGTTTTGGTGTTTTTTTTTTTTTAGGTAATAGCTCCTTGTAATAATTGAAGTGGCTCTTTTGTAAAGAATATCTAAATGGTGTGAAGAAATTACATGTAAATTACAAAGATTATTTGCCTAGTGGCTGTTGTTTTGTGATTATATTGTTTTTGTAGCTCCGCGTAAACGGCTTTGACAACTGAAATGGTGGCGAAGAGCTTCGCAGCAAAAGCTTCCATAGCAGCTCTGTTTCGAGACCTTGCTTCATCGTTATTGTTGTCTTTGTCGAAACGTTGTGAATCGTTTTTGAGTTTGTGGTCCTGAGGTATGAGCAAGCAAAACCCAGTGCTTGAAAGGGATTTTGAGGCTTTTCTGAGGTGAATGACTTAGTGGAAGGTTAATAGAAAAAAAGAATTTTTTCGCTCCAATTGAGGAGGGTTGATTTCTCATCTGCAGACACATATATCACATGCATCACACACTGATATAAACACACAGCAGCACACTCGGATGAGGGAGAGGAAGATGGATACACGCTATACACCACAAAACACACAACACACACACGGCTATCACAAACCCATCACGCACATGCACAGAACACAAAATTCAAAATTTCTCTGGAGATAAATTTTGAATTTCTCTAGAGATAAATTCCGAAGTCAGAGAAATTTGGTTAAAACACATTCCGAAGTCAGAGAAATTTGGTTAAAACACATTCTCAACTCAGAGAAATTTCGAAGTCAGAGAATCTCTGGAGAGAAATTTCGAAGTCCAGAGAAATTTGCAAAGAAATTTCTCTGGACCAATTTTCTCTGGATCAACTTGAGGGACCTTAGACATTATGAAAATATTGAGTGTCCTTTATGCTGTAAAATCATAATACCAGGGACCTTAAAAAAAATCCCAAAATAGAATAAGGGACTAATATTTTGTAACGGAAGGAACATTAATTTTAGTTAAATTATTTATATATTTTAATAATTTTAAATCTATCGTATTATAAAAGTGTAATTATCATATAATAATTTTGTATGATATATATTAAATTATAAAATAGTAAAATAAATATGCATTTTGATATTAAAAATAATAGTTAAATTAGAAAAAAAAAATTAATAATATAAAATTAAAAGTAATTCTAACTATTTAATTTTCTTTTATATTCATTTGAAAAATAAAAATATGTAGAAATAGAAATTTATTAAAATTTATTTAAAAAAATTAAATATAAATATGTTGTAGTTGGATTATCTTATAATGATTTTATATGATATATATATATATATATTAAATTATAAGATTGTAAAATAAATATTCGTTATTAAATCAAAATATCAACTGACAATAAAATAACTTTAATAGTGGATGGGTCGGACTGATCTACGCCTCCAACGGGTCTGCTGGCCTTTGTGTCCTCAAAGCGTGCTTGCAAAACGGTCCAAAGGGAGAGATGATCCCTCAACGGATACTCTAACGATCAAGTTAGAGCAAATTGACTTAAGAGAGATAGAGAAACAAGAGAATAGAAAACTTAACCTCGACGTATCTCAAAAACTTCCTTATATCCTTTGCTCATCATTTTCTTATCCATTCCAAGCTGTCTTGTTGGTCAAAAGTCTATAGTCTAGTTGACTTCGTTCAGGGTGAGTCTGCTTCTTCCGGCGTGAAGGAGTTGCCACATTTAATGCTACGAGGGCCTCATTAAATGGCTGATGTACGGGTGTAATAACTTCGCAAAATTTTTGTCTACTTACGTGGCTAGGCCTCTGTCTGACAAGTGTTTGAATGGTATTGATCCTAGCCCAGCATTGATTTCTCAAAGTTACTGGGCTTTAATATCTAGGCTGTGAGTTGGGCCCTGATCTGTGGGCTGTGTGGGCTAGGCCCTCTTGGGTACCCATTAGTATCAGTAGTTCCCCATTCTCAAGTGTCACTTTAGTCTAACGAAGGGAATAAGAGTGTGGGATATAGTCCTCCAAGGCCGGGGGGTAGGGGCGGTGGGGGGGCTTCTAGAAAAGTGGTCGATCGTTAGAATGGCCGAACATGAAGAATGACCGTTAGGTCGACCGACTACAAGGATGGTCGATCGAGAAAGATTGACCGTTAGGCTGGTCGACCACGAAAATATGTGGGGAATAACTGGTAGGCTGGCCGACCACGAAGGTGGCCGAGCGTAAGGGGAGACAGTCAGGCTGGCCGACCACGAAGGTGGCCCAGCGTGAGGAAAGACTGTCAGGCTGGTTGACTGCGAAGGTGGCTAACCGAACGGTGTGGCGGCCGGCCAACTTGATGGTCAACCGCTGAAGAGATCGACCATTGAGGGCATTTATGGTGCACGGGGCTCGAGGAATAAGAAAGCACGTGATGATGTGAAATGGAATGGACGGAGGAAAGGAAAGAGAATGAATGCGATGAACGAAGAATCGAGGTTGTACACGTGGGGCAATTTGGGCCATTGGTAGGGGAGGTGAAACGGTAAGAGAAAGTGAAATGATTATATAAGGGGTGACATAGGAAATGTGGGAGTTTTAACTTGGTGGAATTTCAAACTAGCGAATTTTAACCGCGATCCTTGGAAGACAAACAAACCCTGGGCATTCAGACTGGTGCGATTTACTTACTTGATTGCAAAAAATCAATACATTCCAGACTTGAGCTCCTACGTTCACATCGCAGATTTCCTCACTGCCGTAACCA